GGCTATATCAATATAAGACAAAATAGACTTCAAGACAGGGGTAATACCACAGATAGAAGGAATTTCATAATGATAAAAGGGTCAACATAATAATCATTAACGGGTATGTGCCCAATTACAAACTTCCAAAACACAGACAGAATAACAGGAATAGACAAATTCACAATCATAGCTAAAATGTTAACACCTCTTTCCATAAGTGATAAAATTAAAAATATAGAAGACTTAATACTATCAACCACACCTTGACCCAAAACACATTCTTTTCAAGTGTAGCTGAATGTGTCATATTCCCCTAATAAAATTCAGGTTCTCTACAGGTTTGTTAAATAAATAAATACATGCAAAGGTGGACGATAGGGCATGCTGAATTGAAAGGAACACTTGGCTGTATTGGCTAGTTCATAGCTGAATACATGGACAAGAAGTTGAAGCTGATGCTATAGACTTAATCCATCTAGGCCAGCAATTTTCAACTCTTTTTCATCTCATGGCACATATAAACTAATTACTATAATTCTGCAGCATACCCCAAAATATATTTTTTCCCATCTGACAAAAAAAATAGGTATAATTTTGAATCATTCACACTGGACAGCTATTGTGTTGGCTGTTACCATTTTTTAACAATCTAAGGGAAAAGAGCTCAGTACCCCGATTAAAGTCAGGTATTGCATGTTTTAAAAATTCTTATGGCACCCCAGTGTGCTGCGACACGCTGGTTGAAAATCACTGATCTACAGGTCTATATTTCAAAATGCTTAAAGTTCACTAAGCTAGATGCCAGAGACAAGGAATGTACAGAGGCAAAGCCCCAGCAAAGGAAGAAAAAAGTTAAATAAAGAAGAGTTAAGTTTCAGAGAAAGGCATAGACACCTTCTCTGAGGTTTGACACAAAGAAACAAATATGGATACAGGCACAAAGATTTACTGGAGTGAGGAAAAGGGTGAGGCTGCTCCTGCAAAATGGCTTCACCTCCTCAAGCGATTTAAAGAACCATTCGCTTGGGGCTTCCGACTCTTCTGAGCAAGGCTCACCCTGCTGGTAAGCACCCTTGTTTAACAAGTTGACTGAAGAGCTATTACACATACAAATCGTTCTACAAAGTAATCAGGAATAAGTTATCAACTTTTCAAATATGGTGTTTGGGGGAAAATATACTCTTAGGATCAACCTGGGCTTAGAGCCACCTTCAGAAAAGACTGTGCTCTGATTAAGATCCATTCTCTCGTCCCCTCCTTTGACACCCCATTTTCCAATGCAGAGATAAGGTCTGACAGCTGAAAAAGACAGGTGTCTGATAAATGCAAAGGCTTTCTACCTTCATATTATTTGTCTGGCTAATAGATAAGTGGGTGAGAAAGATGTGAAGAAACTACTCATTGGAAATCTAGCTTCCTCATGTTCTCCTTATCACCCGTTTCCATCAAGTTATTCTAACCTAGCGTCAACCTCAAACACTAATTCTCAATGTTCCATGTGATTTCGGAACATTCACAAACTGCTATTCGTGAGAATTCACTTCACCAAGAAAGCCCCTAGCTCTTTTTAATTGTCAAAATCTCCTTCATACATACTACATTCTTCAAAACCAAAGACAAAACTCCTAGCAAAGCTATTTAGTATCATGGAAGCAACTGCTGTATTATGTTTGACCTTCCCTGTTCAAGGACAGCCTCTTCTTTAGGCAGCAAGACAATCTTATGTTGCATCCAGGGTCAACAACAAAATATGATAGGTCAGTTGCAAAGAATGTCATACGTGCACCTGTGCATGCATGTGTATATGCATGCATATATTCATCACCAGGAGTAAATGGAAAAATTATTTTTGTAAAATATATATATAAAAAACATCAAAATTGCATTTAGCTTGTGAATATTTCATTTCTATAGAACAACATAAAATAATGGGATTTATTAAAAAATGAGTGGTTAAGTTTTAAGTAAGAGATCTATAGAGCTTGTTTAATCCCTGGGAATCTAATTTGCATCAAATCTAGATTTTCACTTTGTGTTCTATCATGATCATTTACTGCTACTTTCTATTTTTTTAATTTTAATCTTCTACTAAATGCTTTACATTTTAAAATAAACTAGGAATTCAGGCTCTGCTATTAAAAACAGAAATTATTTTGACTTAAAAAAAAAAGGAACAGATATTTGGCATTAGTATGGAGCATAACTTATACTCTGATATATTTATCCAAAAGGGTTAAGACCAAGTAAGGAATCTGCTTGCTTATTAAAAATGCAAACATTACCTCAGTCGTACAAATGGCCCCAAACTTGCCTGCCCACGGCCTCTGCAGATCACCCACCAGCATTAGCATTACATCATATGACATTATAGAACAATAGTGAACTCTGTGTAATACTTGAATATATTGTTTTGGAAGAATAAACTGTCATTAACTTGAATAAAAGCTTTCTGAAATCAAACCTGGGGGGTAGAGCCCTTACTGTGTGGCCCTTTTACTACTTAAAGAAATAGCCTTATCCTGAAAGCAGTAGAGAGGGAAAAAAGAGATTAGCGCATAAAGGCAACAGTGATGAGTGGCCCCAGCAGGCAGCCAGCAGGGCTTTAAATTACCAGGCAACGCGGGAGGCGCAGCCCCCCATCACTCTGTTTCCTATTACAGCCGAGCGACTAGAACAATGGACTTTGCTAGAGTTGGAAACTGAGTCTTATTCTATGTACAAAATTGTTAAACACTTGATGTCCTGGTGCTGTCAGAAGATGGGCTATCACTTACAGCCATGCGATTTTTAGGCACTGAAGTTAGGCTCTGAGCACCAATGTTTTAATCTCTAAAATGGAAAGAATAATAGCTATTGTGCAGAGTTAAGGGGGGGAGGGAATTAGCTACTATGATTATCATAATTATACTTATTATTTCCGCCCAATTGTCCCCTTTGCTTATCTTTTCTAATCACTGTCCAATATGCTTCTACTTCACAAGTGAAACACGAGCATCAATTTAAACACTCACTTGTTTCTGTTTTGTTTGTTTCCTGCAGTCTGGCTTGTCACATGTTGCTGTTTCTACTTTCACGCCACTCTCATGAAGTGATTTCTCTATCTTTCCAAATCCTAGATCACCTTTAACTGCAACCTGCTACTCACCCACTTTCCTCTCTCCTGTACCTATTCTCAATTATCTCCGCCACCAACATTCAAAGAGGTGAAAAAGCAAAACCAGAGCAACACAGCTAGTTGGTAGCCAAGTATCAATTAAAACCTAGGTTTCAATGCAGCCAAGTCCAGCTGCACTGCATTAATTATTCACTTTCAGGGTTCCCAGTGATCATTTTAAATGTGAGGTTATCTTCCCTTAACACCAAGTCTTTTCCTAGAATGTTTCCCTACTGGTCAATTTATTATTATAAAATACAAATTATTTCAATTGCTTAAAAAGGAAACATAATCTCAGAAAATTATTAAATATATCTCAGTGTTCTGGGGGAATTTGGGTTTTTTTTTTTTATTCATTTGTTTTTAGTATTTCCCTAAAGCGGGTACAAAAAGTGGTCACATAAGGCTTTACCAAGTATAGATGACTTTGCAAGGAGAAAAGATGCAGCTAACAGGAAACAGAGCCAGGAAAATTCTGTGAGCAGTACTGCATTCGATTCCAGAAGGGATGGAGTAAAGAATACCAGCATCCACCTCTCAGTTCCTAAAGATAAAGGCTGTATCTTTTAATATTATTGTACAAGGATATGTGAAGATAGAAATTTCATTAACGTTGGCTTCTTTGGAGAATCACATCATTCCTCAAAATCATGAAAACTAATAAGAAGATGAGTAACAGGATGTAGTGTGTTGTTTTCTGTAAGAGCCAGAAGGGTTTACCAAAGTCTATCTCTAAGGACTGTGGGGAACAGACTGAAAGCTTATACTGCCTCATCTGTAAAGCAAATGAAGTGCTAGGAAGAATAGCTTGATATATGGATCATCTATAAAGCAGCATTTGTTTTTTAAGTATAGAGTGGAATAGTGTAACTCTACAGAATTTGACATCAGTGATGAAGGTTCAAGCTCAACCTCTCTATCGGCCAGCTATCCATCTGACCTAGCACAAATCATGCAAACATATTTAATGACATAAGAATTAAAGAAATGATATGTGTATGGCAGGGCCTTTAAAATAGATATATAAATGTACGATGACTTACATTACTGTACGTTGTACTAGGTTAATAAACCAGGACATTATGTTCATTTATGCATCTTAATCTTTTGGGGGAGAAGACAGGAGGAGAGATCCTTATAGTAGAAGCCCCATTCCATTAGTAGAAAATCATCACCACTACTTAATGGAGACATGAAAATAATAAAATTAATATACTTACTAATACAAATAAAAATATAATTATTAAATGAATAACATTCATATTGAGGTAACTACCTCAATATACAGTAATCAGGAGGGCTGATGGCTTGTATACACTCTCTCCCCTCAATATACACATTCTCTTCTCATACAATACGGCTGCCAGAATTATATAATTAAAAGTTTATCAGTGGTCATGGAGATTTCCTCTATGGATCTGAACTAGTCAACCTATAGTCCAGACCGCAGGTAGAATAAATATCTTTTCGTGGAAATATAACAGGTGAGGGCCAACTCCAACATCATTCATTCATTCATTTATTCAGATCCTCCTTTATACCAAACTCTAGTCCAAGTACTGAGGATTCAACACTTGGACCCAATGCTGTCATGGAGCACACATTCTATTGTAGCCGAAAAAGAGAGACAGTAACCAAATAAACTATGCGGTAGGTCAACGATGATTAAGTGCAACAAAGAAAAACAGGCAGGGAAAAGGCCTACAATTCTAAACAGGGCAATCATGGAAGGCTTCATAGAGAAGATACCATTTAAGCAAAGGCCTAAAATGAGATGCATGAGGCACAAAGCTATCTGGGGAGGGCAGTGGGGCTATGCAAGCCTTTCCAGCAAGTCCAGGTAAGTCAAAATGAAAGGTCTTACCTTTCAAAAGTGGTTGGAAGGTTGGAATCTCTTGCAATTTGATGACATCAGGATCATTGCTGACATTCCGTGAGGCCTGGGAGCCCTGAGCTACAACCACAATATCATCCATCTTGGCTCTATGCTTAGCTGGAGAAGGAGTCACTGAAAATAAAGTTATTTTATTTAGCCACCTGTCTCACCAAAGCTGTTTTACTGTAGTCATTAAAATGAATATTGTTATTGAAAAAAAAATGCTAACTGGATTTATCCTGCAATGGAGACTTGGGTAAGGGAAATGAATCAGGAAGGACCTCTATTAAAAAACTGAAACATTACAGGAATATATATATATATATATATATATAATTGTTTTTGCAATTTAAAATATTTTATTATTCAGCACACAAAAGAGTAGGGAGATTGTGTTTTTAACTTTTAATTCTTTGACCTTCTTTATGTCTGTCCATATTTTACCGATGAGGAAATAAGGGCACAAATCTTGGCTGTGACTTGCCCAAAGTCAACAGTAGTAGAAACAGGTTAGGGAAGGAACTGGAAGTCAATAGGTTGTTATACATGACCCATCCCTGTGACACAGCAGTTGCAAAGTTGTCTAGCCACCCATCACAACAAACCAAGTATGTTTAACAGGTCCTACTCATGAAAGAAAAAAAAAAAAATCCTGATACTCAACCCTAGATAATGGGTGTATTCCTGAGGCACCATCCCCCTCACCCTTAAAGTTAAGAGGTATTAGCCCAGAGGGTAAAAAATAATAAGTAGGTCCCTTCTAGGCTGAGTTCAGAAGGCAAAATTCAGAAACTTGGAGGATTGCTAGAGAGGCAGGTCAATTTCAGGTGTCTTTGGAAAATGTAACCTACTTGGGAGGAAGTGATTCAAACTATCAAGGACTTCTTAGCCCAAGACATCCTCCTCTCCCCAAATATATTCCTAGTTGGGGCCGGAATAAACCTATCAAGTATTTTACACTCTACAAGGTAGTATTTGCAAGCTCATCATAGATTCTCAAAGGTTGATCCGGGGATGCCACGGAACTGCCCCGCCGCCTAGAGGCTAGAGTCTCCTATGGCATGGCATTCACTCTTCCAGAATCTCTGCTACTTAACAATGCTCTTTAAGAAATGTCTATTAGCACTTTACTTAACACACCCAAGGGTTAAAAGGTTGTACACCTGTCACACATCCCTTCTGGAAAGGAACATCTAAGACCCATTTTTAAGAAGGTACCTGTTCTTAGAGGTCCTGTCTACGTTCCATCTACTTTGAGAACCAAGTCTCACTTTGTCAGTCTGAGTATCAAAGCCAATAATCAATCAGGTCATCTTTTAAACAGGTTGTGGCTGGGAGAAACAGCTGTTTTGAAAATAAATAATGGGTATGGGCGTCTAAGCGGGCTTGGCTTGCAGTCACAGACACGTCCGTCAGGGGATTCAAGGCTAGGACTTTTTTTTTTTTTTTTTTAAAGAAAAAAAGCACGGTGCACGCTTTCTGTGTGTTCCCGTCCGCGCGTCCCAGACCCGCTAGGCTGGGAGGCTGCACGCTCTGCAAGCCGACATGGCTGGCTGGAGAAGGGTGGAAGTTAGGGCACCGACCTGAGGAGTTCAGATCGTTGGGTCGGCTCTCGGCCTCGGAGCTCTGCTCACTGCCCATTGTGCCGGCAGCGTTGGCAGCGGAAGAACGGTGGGACTGGCGGTCACCGTTCCGGCGACGGGGCGACAGGGCAGGGACAGGGACCGGTACGGGAATGCTACAACGAGTCTGGATGCCGCAGCAGGGCCGCCGTGTGCGGAGGGTGAGCTCAGCCCTCGTAAGGGCGCTGGCGATGGGAAATAGCCCCTATTTGGGGAACGAACGCGCAAGGCGGAAAGGCCCGGCTGCACGCTGCTCGCCCGCCTTCCTTAAGGGAATCCCAAGGAGAGTGAAGCTGAGAACGCCAGGCTTCAGCCACGCCATCCACCGGCTGCAGTGCAGCTATCACTCACTCGCTCTAGCGCCGCCGGCTGGCTTCTTCCGGGACGCGGATTGGCTGCGCCGGCTGCGCGCGGCCGTCAGTTCCGGGTTAGAGGGCCGCCGCCCCTGGTCCCAGCTGGGGCGGGGAGACTAGCGCAGGAAACTAGGGCGACGCCCACTTAAAGGGCCCGACTGCTGGCAAACCAGACACGCCCCAAAGGGTAAGCTCTTTCCTTTGTACTGATGCGTCACCTTTAAGCATCATCCACACTTTGGGCACTGTACCCCTATCGTTAGAACCTGACAAAATAGATGGTTTGTTAAACTTTGTTTTACAGATAAAGAGAGGTGTTAGGTATAGTTAGGAGCCACATACGCAATTATCTGGATGCAAGTCTCCTGTTTCAGGTCCGAAAGCTGGGAGTGTGGCAGTGGACAATCAGGCAAAAAAAAAAAAACAACACAACAAAAACCCCTAAATGGCGACAGAAGGAGCTGGAAATGAGATAAAAAAAAAATGGTGTGTGTGCATCTTCATAAGAAAGTGGATGCCACTACAGTCACTCTCTGGGGGCCTTGACAACTATTAGGAAACTGCCATTCTGAAAAAAGCGAATGCAAGAAAAGAATACAGGTAATGCAAAACAGAAACTGCCAGTTTCAGCAGGTCAAGGACCTAGCCCTAGCAACGCAATGCCATTAAGTTGCTGGGAGCTCTGAGATTCTCAGAACTTTGTGACTCATTTTATATTGTTTGCTTCAAGAAATTTCAAGCAAATGCCCTGAGACTTTATATACATAAATATAATCTCAGGAGGAGTGCCAAATTCACTAAATGCTTGAGTCCCTTCTATTCTATATCACAGACACTTCCTCTATTTTATCTTATTTAATTTTCACAACAGCTGAAACCCGTAACAGGTAACTTCCTCATAGTCACCAGGCAGAATTAGTGTTCAGTAATGTCTGATTTCAAACCGCAGGCTCTTTCCTACTCAGCATTACTACACTGGAAAAAAAAAAAAGCAAAAATGAATGCAAGTTCACTATTCTGTGAGATTATGAAGACAGAACTAAAAACTACCTGAGAGATTAGAGTAAGCTCCTAGGAGGCAGTGTTTGGCTAGTCTTGAGGTTTACACAAACCACCAGCCTGATGGGACTGGGAAGGGCCCACTGAGCAGTGTGGTCATGTTCCCCTGGAGAGCCCTTCTCTTCCCTCCCATGTCTGCCCTCATTTGGGGTGGGTAAGAGGGGAGACAGAAGGGGGAAGCATAACTCATATTCTGGCTCATATTACTCCACATCGAAGCATATTTATCCTGTGTTCCATACCCTACTCCATGCTGATGAGGTGACATTTTTCGTGCTTCTCTTTATATGAATACTTCATACTAAAAGGGATTTTATATTCTGTCCATCAACTGACAAATGTATAAATATATCATCCCATTCTCTATTGATATGCAAGTTCTCTGGCTGAGACAAAACTGATAGGTAGCCTTATGAAAGTTCCTTTGTATGAGAAAAATGATTTTTCTAGCTCCTTTTAAAATTCTCCCTTTGTCTTTGATTTTAGACAGTTTTATTGTAATTTGTCTTGCTGAAGAATGTTTTGCTTTGAAATTTTGAGGTGATCTATTAGCTTTATAAACTTGGATATACAAATCTTTCCCCAGAACTTTGGGAAATCCTCAGCTACTATTTCTTTACTTGAGATTTTTACTTCATCTCCCTCTCTTTTCCTTCTGGGACTCCAATGGTGCATACATTGTTTCTCATCACGGTGTCCCATATATCCCAAAGGCTTTTTTTATTCCTTCCCATTCTTTTTTCTCTTGTTCCTCTGATTGGGTAATTTCAATTGATCTGTCTTCTAGCTCACTGATTTTTTTTCTGCTCAGTCAAGTCTGCTGCTGAAGCCCTCTGTTGAATTCTTCAGTTCAGTCAATGTATTCTGCTTCAAAACTTACTTTTGACTTTTTTATTCTTTGTATTTCTTTGTTGAACTTCTCATCGTATTCTTGTATTGGTTTACTGATACTGTTAAATTATTTATCTGTGTTTGTTACCAGTGGACAAGTCTGTACCTTTTGCCCACCCCTTCTCAACAAGCCAAACTGAGGCGCCTGATGTTAGGCAGACTGTGACAAGCTGCAGGAAGTAGGGAGTGTCCCTCTGTGGGTGGGGCAAGGAACCTGGAGGCTCAGCTGATCATAGCACCTTAGCGGTGCAATGCCCAGCCTTGAGGCAGCGAGGACCCGTGAGTGGCAGGATTCCACCTCCTCGAGTGGACGCTGTGATTGGGTCTGGCCACAGCAGAGCATTCGCTTGGAGTTAGTGGAGCTTCCTGGACGAGGCCAGGAGGGCAAAGAAACCAAGCAGCCTTGGGATGCAGCAAAGTAAGGGAGTCTCTGCCCACAGGCTGGATGGAGGCCTGTTCTTTAGGGGGACGTTCCTTATTTTTTTAAGATTTTGTTTATTTATTTTTATAGAGAGGGGAAGGGAATGAGAAAGAGTGGGAGAGAAACATCAATGTGTGATAGTAATGTTAATCAGTTGCCTCTCGCATGTGCCCCGCAACTGGGGACCTGGCCCACGACCCAGGTGTGTGCCCTGACTGGGAATTGAACTGGCAGCCCTTCACTTTGCAGGAGGATGCTCAACCAATGGAGCCATCCCAGTCAGGGCATGGGGAGGATCTTACACAGAGTGTGCTGAAAGCTGGAAACGTGAATGGGCAGAGCCCAAGTGCACACAGAAAGCTGGAAAGATGAATGGATAGGGCCTCTAGTGGGCCAAAAGCTAGAAAGATAATAGGATAAGGGGGAAAGCCCTTGCCCTCACCCTTCTGGTACCAGAGTGGTGGTGGGACCAGGGGAAGGCAGACACATGGCTATGGAAGTCAGAATGGTGGCAGGAGGAGGTTCTGGACCCAAGAGCCATGTCAATCTAGCCCGAGGAACAAAGGGATTGGTTGGCAGGTGGACCCACCAAAAGCTTTTGAATGTTTAGGTAGTTGATTGATCTTTCTGAGAAAACACCTGGCCCAGCCCACACCCAAAATGGATATAGCCCCAGGGGAACAAAGAAACACTCTCTCTCTCTCTCTCTCTCTCTCTCTCTCTCTCTTGCTCATTGCTCTCTGCTTGGGATCACCTCTGATCTTGCTCATCTCTTACTGCTTGAGATCTGCTCTCTCTTGCTCATCCCTCTCTTAGCAGTCACATGGCCATGGCCTCCAGGAGGGAGTCTCAGTCTCTCTCTCTCTCTCTCTCTCTCTCTCTCTCTCTCTCTCTCTCTCTCTCTCCTCTCCCCGCCCCACCTCCTGGTTAAGCATTTGCTGGTATGTTTAGATGCTCTCCATTTGGGAACACGTGACCTTGTGGCCCTAGCAGCTGCACTGCCACTGGCTGCACCAGCTCCACACACAGCCTCTAGGACGGAGCCTGAAGCTGGACAGCAGCTGGGAACAAGCTAAGCTGCCTGGATGATCGCTTGGTAGCTGCTTCGGGCCTCATAAGATGGCACTTTAAAATGGAGCAGTAACTCGGGGCACTGTCTTTTGTTCTGGTCTTGTGGAGGATGGCTGGGTTTTGTCTGGGTTTTGCAGAGGAGATGAGCTTTGAGATGTGGAGTCCCCCATTCTCCAAGATGGTGCAGTATCTGAATAAACCCCTTTCCTTTTGTTTCAGCACCCATCTCACGAGTTTGGCTTTTGTGGTGACAGGCATCTAAACCCCATTTTTCTTTGTTTAGTAATATATGCTCTTGTAGCTCTCTGAGCATCTATGGAGTATTTATTTTGAATTCTTTGTCAGGCAATTCCTAGATCTCCATTTCTGTGGCACCAGTTACTGGAAGTTTACTGTATTCCATTAGTGGAAACATATTTCCCTGATTCTTTGTGATCCCTGTAGCCTTGTGTAGGCATCTGCACGTTGGAAGAGGCAGTCATCTCCTCCAGACTCTATGGACTGACTTTGGTAAAGGAAAATTTTCACCTGCAGGTGGAGACACACTGGAGCATGGAGCATGCTGTGTCCCCAGTGGTACAGGGCACCAAGTGCAGGGACATGCGGTGGCACAGGGCCCAGGGAGCATGGTATCTTTTTGGCTTAGGCCTCAGGAGTCCACAGAATCAACAACTCTGGCCTTGGCAAGCACTGCAGGGTATTTTCAGTGGCTGGAAACTCTGTTGGAGTCTTACGTGGCCCCATCCGGTTTCAGTGGCCAGGGACCAGAGCAGACAGCAGTGGGTGGCCTAAGCCAGTGGTATTCTTACACTAGGTTGCAGAGGGCCAGCAGTAGGTTCTTCTGTAGAGGGAGGGGCAGGCTGCAGACACACAGTAGTGGAAGGGGCCAGGGAATGCATCAAGGTCTCCTGCCAACTACATGCTCACTGGCAGTTGCAGGATCTCTAGTTGTTGATGTACACTACCATGGCTGCTGGATCTTGCCAAGGGCAAAGTGGAGACCAGGGACAGGGGTCTCTCTAGAGGTATGCAGGTGCACAGTTGGAGGGGCTAGCAGCAGGTGAGTGCAGTGGTGGTACAGGCCAGCGATAGAGGACAAAGCCAGATCCAAGCCCCCAAGCAGCCGTGTGTATGTGTGGTGGGATGGGGTGGGGGGAGTAGCTATTGGTATGCTCTCTTGTGGCTGCACAATCCCCCCAGGTGTACACACTACAGTGGAGGTTGCCGATGGGCATCAGTCCTGTGGTATGCAAGTGTACTGCTTGAGGGGCTAGCCTCAAGTGGGTACACAGCAATGGAGGTCAACTGCAGGGGTCTAGGCTGGCATCTTGCACTCGTGCAGCAGCAGAAGCCTGCGCTGGTTGCCACTGTGGCTCTGGGTGTTAGAGCAGGGAAGGAAGCAGGCATCAGTCAGCAGCAAATAGAAATACCTGCAGAGTGAAAGCTGTGGAACATGCAGGACATTTATGGCACCTGTGCTAGCCATTGCTTTCTTCAGTGGTGCAAGTTGCTGGGTTTGCCTGCAGAGCAGGTCACCAGGCACCTCAATCATTCCTGCTATGTGGCTGCTATTTTAGCCCTTGATTGTCTTCTTTATTCCTAGCCATGTCTATATGTTTCATCTTTGCCAGTCTGAGTGAGGTGCCCCAAAAGGCTGGGGCCTCACCCAGCTCTTCCCGTCTCAGCGAGGGGAACTCTCTCTAGCTGGGAAGTTCTCTTTTGGCATTAAGCAGTGCTGGCTTGGGGAGTGGGATGATACAGACGAAATGAAGCTGTCTTCCTTCTCTTCTTGTGCTATTATTTTCAGGATTTTTTGTTCTGCTGTGTTGCTTAAGTTTCTTAAGTGCACTCCAGAGCTCTCCCAGAACTGTTTATGTTCATGAATAGCTTTCTAATTGTTGATCTTTGTGGGGGGACAGAGGCTCAGGACCCCTATGCCACCATTGGGCGTTTAGTTTTTGATAAATGGAGAAATAAAATGTGTTATATCCATATAAGAAAGTATTATTTGCCCCCCTCCAAAAGAAATGAAGTGCAAATACATGCTACAACAGTGGTAAACCTTGAAAACATGCAATGTGAAAAAAAGCCCATCACAAATGAGTGCATCTTGTAGATTGCATTTATATGAAATATCCAGAAGAGGCACTATAGAGACAGAAATAGATTAGCAGTTACCCAAGGCTGAAAAGGAAGAGAGTGGAGGAGAAATGGGGAGTCATTATTAATGAGTGTACTTGCTCACACAGTTAATAAGTCATGAAACTAGGAATCAAGTGTTTTTTTAAATTTTATTTATTTTTTAGAGAGAGGGTAAGGGAGAGAGAAAGTGAGGGAGAGAAACATCTACAAATGAGAGAAGCATCGATCTGTTGCATCTTGCAAGTGCCCGACCTGGCCCGCAATCCAGGTATGTGCCCTGACCGGGAATCAAACTGGTGCCCTTTTGGTTCATAGGCTGGCGCTCAACCTACTGCGTTGACTCCAGCCAGGGCAGTGGTCAAGTGTTTTAACACTCATAATGCCTCTAATCCACTCCTGACTAAGCTCCTCCTTTCATGTCTTTATATTGCCTGGCAGTCCATCCATCCAGTCCCCGAGGCAGAACCTCTCAACTTACCCTAACCTGCCCATCAACCAGTCACAAGCCTAGAGCCACTCAGCGCAATTTCCCCTCCATCTCTGGGCCCTGTTTAGGGTCTCCTCATTTCTTCCATTTCTTAGAAAACAGAAGGACTCTGGTCTCACCTCCTTCAATCCATCCTACATGGGGCTGGCAGAGAGAATTTTCTAGAATATTGAGTCTCTGGATCTGTCATTGCCCTACTGAAAACCTCCAGTAATTCACCATGGCTTCAGGATAAAATTTAAAAGTTAGCATATGAGAACCTTCATGCTCTGGCCCCAGCCTCTTTACTCCTCTCTGCACACAGGTAGCCTTTATGCCGGTCAGAACGAAATTCCCTGAATCTTGAATAGTCGTGCTATTTTGTCTGTCTATCTATATTCAGCCTTCACCTCTCCATCTAGCTAACTGAATTTCATCCTTCAAGAGTCAACCTGTTGAAAATGAATACCCACACTACACCTGCACTAGGTGTTTATAGCAGCTTTATTCGTAATTGCCAAAACTTGGAAGGAAACAAAATGTCCTTCAGTATAGGTGGACGGATAAACAACAATGGACTATCATCCAGTGATAAAAAGAAATGAGCTATCAAACCATGAAAAGACATGGAGGAAACTTCACTGCGTATTTATTAAGTGAAAGAAGCCAATGTGAAAAGGCTAAATACTGATCCAACCATATGACATTTTGGAAAAGGCAAAACCATGGAGACAATAAAATGATCAGTGATTGCCAGGGTTTGGGGAAAGGTGGGAGGGATAAACAGACTGAAACAAAAGATTTTTAGAGCAGTGAAAATACTGTGTGTTACTGTGATGGTGGATACCTGTCATTACACATTTGTCCAAACTTGTGGAATGTACAACACCTAATGAGCAGAAGATAAAATATGGACTTTAAACATGTACAACTGTAACAGATTTACCTCTCTGGTGGGGGGTGTTGATCATGGGGAAGGCTATGTATGTGCGGGTGCAGAGGGTATATGGGAAACCTCTGTACTTTCTCTACAATTTCCTTGTGAACCTAAAACTGCTCTAAAAATACTGTCTTTTAAAAAAATGGTTGAACTTATGCACCTCATCCCAGAAGTCTACACTAGATGCCACTCTTCTGACCTTCCTTAATTAACATCTTCTATCATGACATTTATTCTTTATGTAGTCATTGAGTTATGTTCATCTCCCCCATTGCTCTATAAGCATCTTGAAGGTAGAGTCTGCGTCTTCTTGGTCTTTAATTTCCCCTGAAAGTATTTAATACATGTTTTCTGGATAAAACACTTATAAAAAAATATGCCTCCACAGAAATGGGACAGTCTTAGGAGGAGAGATTCGGTAATCTCTTAAGGCAACGAGGAGACAATGAATATAATTTCTAATTCCAACACCTAGTTCATGTTAATAGAAAAGTCCTTTAATCATTGTTTCCATCATTAATCATTATTTCAATTATGTTCACTGTCATAACTGAATAAATGATATCACTTCAATGATAAGAGTTTCATTGTATCAAAACACTGAGTCTTAAGTTTCTAAGTGAGGGAAGGGTCACTTAGTGCTTAGCACGGATACTCCTTATAGGGATATTCGATGACTGTGACCTCTCTGTACCTTGGACCCTCAAGTATATCTGCAGAGATAAAATGATAAAATGTACTATGTACATCAGTCTCTTGGTGCATCAGGAAAGTCACTCCAGTGGAAAATCACTCTGGAATTTCCTTGTCTTTGATAACTGTTTAAAACAAAGTTTTTGCAGTAGTGTTGTAATTCAAGAGTAGGTCATCCTCTGCATACAGGTAGTAAGAGTTTGCTTCACACAATGGGCTGTTATTCATGGGCAGTCTGTCAACATATGCTTCCTGTAACTATTGGTTAAAACTAGGAAATAGCTGTAGCCTTTATCAGGGCTGGAATGATAACCTACAATTGCAAAGTGCTTTAGGTTTGAAAGCTCTTTCACACCTACCAAAGTGGAGATTTGTCAAAGGTAAAACCTCTTGGCAAGTTAAGCATCAGTGGTTTAATAATGTTGCATTTGTTTGCATATACATAGGGGTGGGAGTGGAGGGAGCATTGATTAAAAACACTTCCTAGTAATTCTTTTCCATTCATTCAGTCAACAAATACACTAGTTAAATATTTACTGAGTACCTCAAGTACCAGTCACTATGCTAAATGTTAGGGATACAATTTTAATAACTATAACAGACACCATTGTTTTTAAAATCATTATACTTGTAGACAATGAATTCTGCAGTCCCAAATGCCTTCCGTGAGGCTTGACTTGCACATAATATTTAACGCAAGAATTGCCAACTCTTAGGATAAGTTAAATAGGAAAAAAAAAATGCAAAAGTTGAACTCTTATCAGGAGAAGGATATTTAATTTTATCATTTACCATAATGGGAATCTTGAATCTTTATATCAAACCCTTTTCCTTTGGAAAAAGAAATGCCAGCTCTAATTGAGGACCCTCCAATGCCTCCAGTTACTGAAAAACGTTCTCCTTACTATGTCCCAGGTAGAATGCACTGTAAACTCTTGCACGTGGAGAAACTGCGCTCAGCGATTGCCTCTGGGCATGGGAACTAGACTTGGACACACCCGGGTGAGAACCAGACTTTTCATTGCATATACATTTTGGTAGTTTGACTTTCCTCCGGTCTACGTGTGCGTTGTCTGGCCCTGGGAAGCGAGACTGCGCAGCTGCAGACCCTCAGGCACCCAAGAGGGTCGCGCCCGCGCCCACGCCCCGCGCCCTTGGCCTCAAGTAGGCGCGTGGGTAAGTGCGGCGAGGGCTCTTTCCCTGGTTCAGCGCGGCCACCGGGAGCAGGAGCCACCGCTGGGAGAGGGACGCGTCTCCTGCTTGCGCCCAGACGACTGCACTCGCAGTTGCTTGGAAGCAGCTCCGGGTTGCAGGGCAGGAATGTGCCCTTCCCCCCTGCAAACTTTCGGCTGCAGCAACGGAAGCAGGAACTTGCGAACCACAAGCCAGCTGGCCAGGAGGGAGCTGCGGAGCATCCCCTGCCATTCTCACCGAGAGCCTCGCGCGGAGTCACCGCTGCTGCCCCGCGAGCGCGTAGGGGCCGTCCTTGCACGGGTTGGACCTCAGGGGCTCCGGGGTCCCCGCGGCGCCAGGTAAAGGCGTCCCGGCCCTCCCCTCTCGACCCACCCCAGGTAGCGTCGCCACCCCTCCTTGCCTGGGGCGAGGCTCCGCCACCCGTCCTGGAGCGAGCGAAGGCTGGGGCGAAGGAGGGCTGAACCGGGGCTTTGGCGCGGAGGTGTCCCGGAGGGGCTTTCCAGGCAGGCCAGAGGCACCTGTCATAAATGGAACTGGCTCCGCGTCGTCATTGGGACGGGCAGAAGGACAGTTTAGTGAGCGACATATATTTCCTCAAAGGAAGGGAAATTTCTCCTTTTTTTTCTTTTATGATTTGGGTCCTGTATTCATGTTCGAACCTACTAATTGTCTAATACTCTGCTGGGTGTGCCTTGATAGATTAGATTATGCTGCGAGTAAAGTGATTTCCAATATTCGGCGTACACGTATGTTCGACTATAGTAAACAGGCATTATACTTCAGGCGCTTCCTCTCCCTCCCACCTGTGTCCTTTTCCCTCCATCTTTCAGCAAGATTCATCTTGACTTTAGACCTTCAAGGCCTAAATAATAATGACTTAGAAGATTAATTTACCTAATAATCGTTGAGTATTTTTAATGAGAAAGAGATGTTTTATACGGGGAACACAGCACCTGCCCCCTCCTTGCGGCACAGTTCAGGTTTCCTTGCAAAAGCTGCAGGAGAGATTTTGTCAGAATCCATTCAAAGTAAAGGACTGGCCTGGGTTTCCTCTTTTGTTCCTGTTTCGTTTTCTTTAGGACTAGAAAAAAGACTTGCAAAGTGTGGCAGCATAAAAAGTTAACTTCTGCCAGGATTCTTAACCTGGGGAGACCATGGATAGTTTTCAGAAAGGCTGTGTATGTCGGTGGAAAAATTTATTATTTTATTAATCTCTAACTGAACTGTAGCATTTCCTTTAAGAGGCATGTAGGCAAAGGACATCATCATATGTTAGAGGTAGCTCTTTTGCCACGAGTAGAAATTACATTTTTATATCAAATTACTAAAGTGCACATATCTCAAAATATCACTTACATTCAGCACTATTTTGAAATCATGGCAGTTACTGAACATACCACCACTTGTTATTTAATAGATTAAGAAGAGCATATAATACACAGCTGTTTTTATTTTAACTAAAAATGGGGATAATAAGATCTGTCTCATTAAGATTCTTGTAAGGATTAAATGACATGTAAAGTGCTTAGTATAGAGACTGGCATGTGAGAAATATAAATGTTGTTTATTATCTTATTGTTTCAAAAGTTGGACATAACTGTTAGCAAGGTAGCTATTAGATTTGTGTTCTATTACCATATACAGGTTTGTCTGGTTTCTTGGTTTTTAAACTATTTTATTGTTTTTACTTACTAAAGTATCTGTTTATTTTAGAGTTCACTCTTTGTGTTGTACAGTTTTATGGTTTTGACAAATATAAATACACATCATTACAGTATAATATAGAATAATTTCACTGCCCTAAAGATCTCCTGTGCTCCAGTGGTTTTTTTTTTATTTTCAATGTAGTTTTGCTTTTTCCACAATGTAATATAGTTGGAATTATACCTATTCAGATGGACTTCCACTCTGCAATAGGCAATTAAGGTTTTTGTATGTCTTTTTGTGGCTTGATAGTTTATTTCTTTTTATTGCTGAATACTATTCCTTTGTATGGATATACCACTGTTCGTTTAACCATTCATCGATTGAAAACTGGATTGCTTCCAGTTTTGGGCAATTATCAATAAAGTTACTATAAATATTTGCATGCAGATTTTTGGTTTTTACCCATTTTTAATTGGGTTGTTTGTTTTCTTACTGCTAAGTTTTAAGAGTTTTTTTGTATATTTTTGGCTACCAGTTCCTTATCAGAAATGTGTCTTGCAAATATTTTATCCCTGTCTGTGGCTTGTCTTTTTGTTCTGTTAACAGTGTTTTGCACGAAGAAGTTTTTAGTTTTAATGAAATCCAACTTACCAATTTTTTCTTTCATGCATTGCACTTTTAGGGTTGTGTATAAAAAGTCGTTGCCTATTCTAAGTTCACAAAGACATTTTCCTATGTCATAATCTAGGAGTTTGATAGTTTTGCATTTTTCCATTTAGATTTATGATCTATTTTGAGTTAATTTCTTTGAAGGGTGAATTATTATTATTATTATTATTTTTTGCATGTAGATGTCTAGTTATTCCAGCACCACTTTTGAGAACACTATCCTTTCTTCATTGTCAAAGATCAGTTGACTGTATTTGTGTGGGTCTATTCCTGGGCTCTCTCTTCTGTTCCATTGGTCTATTTGTTTATTCTTTTACCAGTACCATGCTGTCTTGATTATTGAAGTTGGGTGGTGTCAGTTCTCCAACTTGATTCTTCAGTATTGTCTTGGCTCTCCTGGGCCTTTTCACATTCCATGTAAACAGCAGAATCAGTTTGTTGAGACCTACAAAACAACTTGCTGGAATTTTGGTTGGGATTGTGTTAAATCCATAGATCAAGTAGGGAAGAACTGACATGTTAACAATATTGATGAACATGGAATATCTCTCCAATTATTTAGATTATCTTTGATTTCTTTCATCAGTGTTTTGTAGGCTTATTTAACAAACTACTTGGATAATTATATTTCAATATAACTGGCTCCTTTGTAATCCTCTATATTTCATTTTATGCATTTTAAAACATGTCTCTCAGAAGAGATCCTAAACCTTACCAGGCTACCAAAGGGTTCATTAACCTCCACTCCCAGGCCCTCCCACAAAAAAAAAAAAAAACCAACCCAAAAGATACCCAACTAAAGAAGCAGTAATTCTTCTCTAGGCTGTCATTCAGTGAATAATTTGCATTCTGGAGATGTGGGATGAGTGGTGAGGATAGTTTATGGTGTTGCATTGCCAGGTTAACATTTATTTATATTATTCCTAAAAGAACCAGCTTACCGGTGGAGTTGGCATTAAACCTAGTGTGATTTTGTGTTTTTGGAATGTCAAAAAGAACACCTGCCCCTAAACTTTCCTTCAGCTGAGCCATAATATTCTCCTGCTGACTAGCTAATTCCTAGAATTAGATTGTTATGGTTACTTGCCTCTGGTTTGATACTTAAAGAGAAGCAACAAGAAAAGCAGCCTTATTTCCCTCATCTATAAAAGGAGGAAAATAACAACTTTTTTGCAGGGCTGGTATTAGTATCAAATAGAACAATATATGTCAAGTTCTTGGAGCATTGTCTGCCACCCAGTAACTGATTTAAAACTCTAATTGTTACTACCGAGAAAGGAAATATGCCCAAACCTATTATCACTGTTTCACCAGGGACTAGAGGTTTTGTGTCCTCTACCCTTCTGGTTAGGAGAGGCAAGAAGAGGAAGGATTCTAGAACTCAGAGGCAGGCCTACGGTTTATACCCCTTTCTTCACAGACACTTGTCCGCTTTTAAGCAGTGATAGGATAGCATACATGTTTATTTGTTCTTTGCCAAGTTTTTAACAAAAGCTTGTCTCAAATCTATTAAAAGGGAAATGAATACAAGTGCTGGTTTATTTCTGCCCTGTAAATTGTGAGTCACTTACACTGACTTAAGTGAACGGAAGTGTATTTTTGCTAGATTTGCTAAAGGAAACAAAACTCATTGATGACTTTTTTTTGCTCTAGACCATCATCTCTGCAATCTTCTTGAAGCAAACTAAGACCAGAGGGAAGTTTATCCTTGACCTTTGAAGACTAAAACTATACTGAAATTTAAAATGTTGTTTGGAGAAGAACGGAGCTTGGTCTACACTTTTGCACTTGTTTGTTTCCTGGCAGTGAGGCCGTCCACCAGTCATAATTGTCCTACCCAGAGTCTGGAAGATGTCGTCATTGACATCCAGTCATCTCTCACCAGGGGGATCAGAGGCAATGAGCCCATCCATACATTAACTCAAGAAGACTGCATTAATTCCTGCTGTTCAACAAAAAACATATCAGGTAAGCAATGGTCCCTTGACGGCCCTTTATTCCATGTGTCTTGTGATGTAGTAGCAGGTTGACGTGGCTGAATGGTTTATACTAGTGATTCTCAATGGGATAGAAAGGTGGGTGACAAAATCACCCAGGGAATGTCACAAATGTGCCCTCCCCTCCCCTAAGCTGGTCAAAGTTACCGCGAAGTGTGTGTGTACATCACTCAGGTGTGTGGATATAAAAACTGAGAACCCTCGGTGTTAGGTTCTAGCAGGCATCTAGGATATCAAGACAAAAATGGTATTTAAATGCTTAGCTGACATTGTGGTGGAGTATTGCAATACGATGTGATATTACAAAGAACATTTAAACAGAGAAAGGGAGTCAAGACAAATCCCTAATTCATCCCTTAGGGAAATCAGCATTTAATTTTTAAGTGGAAACGCGAAATCGCCATTTTGTCTCCCTTCCCTGGATCTAGAGGCATAAGGTGAGTCAGGAAGCCACCGGCCACTAATTGAAGCTTCTAGGACTCTCAGGGGCATGGGAAGTCATTTAGTCTGACCCATTCATAAGACACTGAAGGCAACTAAGGCCACAGGTTTAAACCATGCCTTTACAGATTTCAGGCTCCATACTTACTGAAAAAAGAAGTATGTATCGAAGTGAAACAGTAGTTGTTTTTCAGTTGTTTATGAACCTGCCTCAATTCCCTAAATGGAAAAAAAAAAAACCACCCTAAATTTATTGAGCACTAATGCATTGCTAGAGTTAAAACAATAAGACGGATAAGGCCTTGCCCTCAGAGCCTAGAAGAGCTAGTGAATGCTGGACTAGTGGTTCTTACTTAACTTACTAGCCAACAAAATCATGTTTTCTCTTAGATCTTTGCTTCCTTTTTTTTCCCCCCCTATAATCGTTGTGGATAGGAAGGAAGGAAGGGAGGGAGGGAGGGGAATTTGGTCTTTGTCCCTGGTTCCTGACACAGAGCTCCAAAAAACCTTGGTATTCCCTGTGCATAGGAACTCTTTTGTTGTTCATAATGAGCCCATTTTAACCATTTTTGAGTTAATGCTCATGGCAGGACTCTTGGTTGGACCACAGGTAGCTTCAGGTAGCTGGACACCTAAAAGACCAAGCCTTGATTAGAAGCTTGGAGTTTTCAGCCCCACCCCACCCCCCACCTCTGAATAGAGGAGAGGGGCTGGAGATTGAGTTCTGCCCCCAGTGGCCAGTGATTTGATCAATTATGTCTATGTTGAAACCTCCATAAAAAACAAACCAAACTGTAAACAATGAGTTCTGGAAGTTTCCAAGTTGATGAACACACCCATGTTCCAGGAAGGTGGCACACCCCCACTCCGCAGGGACAGAGGCTCCTGTGCTCAGGACCCCTCCCACACCTCACCCTGTACCTCTGCATCTGGCTATTCATCTGTATCCCTTATAATAAATTGTAATAGTAAGTATAGCATTTTCCCAAGTTCTACGAGTACTTCTAGCAATTATTGATCCTGGCTTTGGGGTTATGGGAACCTGGATTTGTAGCCAAGTTGGCAGAAGTGTGAATAACCCGGGGACCTAATAATTGTGACTAGCATCAACATGAGGGCGACCTTAAAGGGCTAAAAACCCCTTAATCCTGTGGACTCTGACCATCAGAATTGAATTGACTTGTAGAACATTCAGCTAGTGTTGAAAAATCAGAGAACTGGAGAATGGGTGTGGAAAAGACACCATGCATTTGCTGTCAGGAGAGAATAACCCTTCTATGGTCATCTCAAATTGAGCAGTGAGCTTTTAGATGGTCTTTTTTACAAATTATTTATGGAATTACAGAGGTTTTATTTAAATGTCTAGTTTTGGCCCTGACTGATGTGGCTCAGTTGGTTGGGCATCGTCCTGCAAACTTAAAGGTCACTGGTTCTGTGCCTGATCGGAGCACATGCCTAGGTTGTGTGTTCAGTCCCTGGTTGGGGCAAATCCCAAAGGCAAACCAATTGATGTTTCTCACTTACTTCCCCTCTCTCTAAATAAAAATAAATATCAAGTTTTGCTTTAAATGTTATATCACCATTTATGTGAAATAGAAACTTCCCTTGCAAACAGGACTGCATGCTCTGTGGGTACTTCCCGACAGCATAGGAGACCACGCATTTCTCTTCAGTTTCTTGGGCACTTAGTAAGAAACGAGGGCTTGCTGCTTATTCTGCCAGCAAAACTACTGTTACTGCTTTATTGTGAGCAGAGTGAGTGGTGGGCCTCAGATAATGGATCTCACACTTTTTCTGCATTTACTGAGCAAAAGTTTTTAAATGTTTAAGGCTCAAAAAGAAAGTTTGATAATTTAATTTGCTTATAACCATGGACTCCAGAAAAATACTGATTAAGTACAGAGGACACAAAACTTGGCATACACCTTGGGGATCTTACGGACCACCCCCTTTACCTAAGTGCCCCTTCCAAAATGGTATTGCAGACTTAGCACAGTCCTGAGAAAGGGAAGGCTAAACTAGGGCCTTCTTGCTGCCTCAATGACAGAGTGATGACATGATAAACCCCCCACAGAAACGGAGTCCTATCAAGGTTGATCCCTAACCATCGCCTGATTTGAAGAAGCAGTGGTAACGGTTGGCAGCCCACGTGGGTTTTACCCCGTTATTGAGATATGTTTGGCACATAACAGTGGGTGGTGAAGATTTGATACATGTATAAATAAATTGCAAAATGATCACCACAATAAAGTTACTTAACACTTAGTTATCGTGTGTGTGTGTGTGTGTGTGTGGTGAAAAAGAATAGGTAGGTTTTAAAAAAAATAAGTTTATTGGGATAATATTGGTTAATAACATTATATAAATTTCAGGTGTACAACGCTACAACATGGCATCTGTATACCCTATTGTGTGCTCACTACCTGAGGTCTAATATCCTTCCATCACCATATATTTGATTCCCTTTACCCTCTTTGTCCTTCCCATCACTGTTCCCCTCTGGTAACCACCATTCTGTTCTCTGTATCTACAAATTTGTTCTGGGGGCGGGGGGTGGTGGTTTGTTGCTTTTTTAATATCTCACATGAGTGATATCTGGTTTTTGTCCTTTTCCATCTGACATTTCATTTAGCATAATGCTCTCAAGATCCATGTTGTCAAGAACATGCATTTACTAATTAGCCAATATGCCTCTTAAACTTCAACTTGGCCCAGGGTATACTGACCTCTCAAGAGTTCACAGGCCCAGATGTGAGACTGCACCAGAATGAGGTCAACTCTAGGTCATGACAATGAGAATAATTTCTATTGGACATAAGAGAAAGAGAAGCTAGAAGTGAAAGTTAAGAGTGAAAAATGAGGGAGGAAGGAAAACAGAAAAGCAAAAATAATAAGGAAGAGAAGAAATATTAAGAAAGAACCAAAAGAAGAATGGCACTGATACAAGTAAAAAATAGACTTCGCATCTCATGCACTACTTGGATTCTTTCGGGAAGGAGGCATGTTATGTAGGATGCTGAATTTACAGACTCCACCTAAGAAAGCCAGGCTCAGGGCTTCAGAGGTGTGTGAGATGCCTTCAGGACACCAGGGGTATATGAAGTCAGTAGGGTTCGATCCATTTCTTAAGGCCCAACTCAACTGTGAGTTGTGCAAAGATTGCAAAGTCATTATATTTTGGTGGATATTTTAGCTAACAGAAAGCTTATTTCTAAAGATTTACATGGACTATTAAAAATTGATTTTGCCAAAATTACCTTAACTGAGGTTTTTAAACCCAATGTCCTTAAACGTCACTTCAAGTGACTATGCTAAGGAAAAGGAAATGATTCAGTGGTCAGCAAGCAAGGGAACAAAAGTGTTTGTGTTGGACACCAGAATAAATGAAGTTCTTCCGGCGGGCCGTACTCCTTCGAAAATCCTGTTTCAAAATAATAATGCTATGAAACCTTTCATTGCAGGGGACAAGGAGTGTAACTTGATGATCTTCGACACTCGAAAAACAACCAGACAACCCAACTGCTACCTGTTTTTCTGTCCCAGTGAGGAAGCCTGTCCACTGAAACCAGCAAAGGGACTTAAGAGTTACAGGATAATTAGAGGTAATGAGAACATTGTTCTTTTCCTTTTGTGATTAGAATTGTTTAAGATTATGGTTCATGGGAAAGATTTTCCACAGAAGAGTCTAAGTAAAACTGCCAAAAGAGGTCACACCTGTAGAAGCACACCAGAAAAATCTCATGATTTAAAGTTCAACTTCTAAGTCAAACAGCTTCTTTCCAGTGAAAGACCTCTGAACCATAGTTTTTGTTTTTACCTCCATAAGATAAAAGGTGCACAGACTTTTCATGAAAACATTTTGAAATGCCTCTTTAGAACATTGTCAGCAGCCCTGGAATAGGGGTATAGGTCTCCTTTTTGGAAAGGATTAAGACCTATGCAAATATACAAAATTCTAGTATGTTTATCATTAGGTTAGAATTATTTTATAATCACATTATCTGAAATCAAACTCAGTGGATTTTTTTGCATAGCCCCAGAAGGAAGTTCATTAAAAAATACTAATTGAGCATCTATCATGTGCCAAATTCTGTGCAATGCATTGGGAATACAGTTTCTATGCACATGAAACATACATATTTGTTCAGAATACAGAAAATTAAGATAATTATTTGGATATGTCTTAGGGAGAAGTTGACTTGTTAATTTTTCAGGATGAGATGCTTTCAGTGTCAAATTGTCCTTGAAAGTTTTGGTCATTCTGCCCTTGATTATTAATATTATTTTCTTTATTCAATAAACAGCAAGTATTATTTAGTATCTCCCACATGCCAAGCACTTTTTATGCCCTAGGCATATAAGGATACAGCCCTAAACATAAAACTACAAGGCTGTCACTTCTGAAACTTACGTTTTAGGAGAGACAGAGACAATAAATAAATAATCAAGAAAAATTTATTACAAGTGCTATGCAGATGATTGAACTAAGAAAATGTAATAGATAATCCCCGAGTGGACCTGCTGGGTTAGGTGATGAGAGGAAGCATCTGCAAAGTAACCCCTAAACTGAGAACTAAACAGCAAAGGCCCAGATGTGAGGTCATGGGAAGCCCTTCTAGGCAGAGGAAGTAGCCTGTTTGAATACCCCAGCTGGCTGACTCATAGTGAACCAAGTACATAAAGAGTGGTATGCTAAAAATAAGACAGGTAGAGAGATCACAAAAAGCTTTGTAAGCCAGCATAGGGCAGGACATTTTCATTTTAAGTGTGTCGTGGGAAGCTGTTGGAAGTTTTTAAGCAGGCATGGAACATGGTACTTTAAAGGTGATTTCTCAAAGCTCACTGTGACTGCTGTATTGGGAATGGACAATGACCCAGCAGCAAGAGGGGAAGTGGGGGGACAGGCTAGGAAGTGGGGGTGAGATCCATGTGAAAGGCCGTGGCACAGTGGACCAGGGAGGCGGGGAGGAGGAGAGAAGCAAACGCAGGGGCTGTTTCCGAGGTAGCGCTCACAGGATTGCTGCTCGCGTGGGCGTGGGGACGAGGAAAAGAGAAGCACTGGAGCCAAGTCCTCGTTTTCTGTCTTGAGTGTCCAGATGGTGGTGGCACCATCTACTGAGCTGTGGAAGATTGGAGGAGAAGTAGCCTTAGGGTGGGGAGGGCAAGTGCAGGCAAGGGCACCTGCTCAGGGCACCGGGGCACCGACTCTGCTTTGTCCCTCGGGGGCGGGGGCGGGGCGGGGGGGCGGTGCTGTGTCCGGCTTTTGTTCCGGGACCAGGAACACTGGATGTACCCAACAATCCCTTAAAAAGATGACTTGCAAATTCTTCCTAAAGAGTGATGTGAACCCAACTCTGAAGAGGCTGGCACATAATAAACAAAGTTTTGCTTTGGCAAGGCTGAAAAACAGTCCCGAGATGGATGATGGTGACGGTTGCCCAGTGCGGTGTGTGCTCAGGGCCATTGAGCCATGTACTTAAAAAGGGTTAAAGTGGTAGATGATATGTATATTTTCCCACAATTCTTAAAAATAATAATTTTTTAAAAGACTATGACAGAACAGATGAGGCTTCTCAAAGCACCCAAGACCTTACCTGGCATGGACAGTATCTTCTCCTCGTCCTCCTTCCCGCCTTTTGGGGCCTCCGTGGCCAGGGTGGCTGCCCCTGGTCTGTGTGACTCCTTCATGTCTCCTGCCTGTATGCAGAGAGTTCTGGCTAAAAACACAGGGCACCTGCAGTGTGGTGTGGATATGGCTTCTTGCCATTCCCCCTTGATCACCTGGAACATTGCAGAGCCTGTCAGATGCCCAGAGAGGGTGTCCAGCAGGCACTGGATTTGCCAGTCTGAGTCTTCAAAGAGGTCAGGGCTCAAGACTTGGATTGGAGTGTTCGCTCTTCTCCTTCAGGAGCTCCCATCACGTGGAAGTGGGACCATCACCTTCCCCCTCTATTATGCCTTCATACCGCCTCTTCTCCATCCTGTCCTGTCTTCTTTCAGTGTGTGTTCCCTGTGTCTATCACCTGCTTCACCATTCAGGCAGAATATTTTAGTCCTGGCCAATGTGGCTCATTTGGTTGGTGCATTGTCCTGTGGACTGAAGGGTCACGGGTTTAATTCCCAATCAGGGCACATACCTAGGGTGTGGGTTTGGTTCCCGGCCGGGGTGCGTGCGAGAGGCAACCGATCGGTGTTTCCCTCTCCCTCCCAGTCCCTTCCCCTCTCTCAGAGGTCAATGGGCATGTTTTGAGGTGAGGATTTTTTTTTTTAAAAGCAGAATATTTTAAAAATATAGATAATTTTAATCGAGTAATTCTAATTCCATAAAATCTACACTAAATAAACAATACCAAAACATGAAAAAACTTGGTGTGAAGCTTTTTATTATATAATTAGTCTAAAAAAAAAAGAACTCTAAGCAGTATAAATGTCCAACTGCCAGAGCATGGTTGGGTGTAAAATGTGATGGATCCACTTGAGAGAATATGATGCAGACACTAAAAAATAAGTTGCAGGTGTAGAAATAAGCAAATTCCCATAAATATCTGGTAATAAACATTCAGTTGTTTTTCAGTTACATGAAAAAAATGTTTTAATTTAAAGGTATGCAGACATGTGAATAGTGGCTGGGACATGATAATAGAAATTATAGTAGAGTTTGTCTTAATTTTCGTAATACTTTTGTAATGTTGTTGCTTTTATAATGCATGTATAAAAGAGGGAGTATGCGGTAAAGATTCTCTCGCGTGGAAATGAGAGAAAAGGGGACTTGGCGCGTGCGTAGCCCTTTAAGAGTTAGTGTAAAGGTAATGAAATAGAATTAGAATCAAACAGTTCCTCTGGTAGCCACCAGGGGGTATCATCAGCCCAGAGCAGGTTGATGAATAACTACGTGCAAAGTGGCCCCAACTCTGGACATAGCTGAGCAGCGTACTGGTTTTATCTACAGTTTGCTTACAAGTTGTGTGTGTAATTCTATTTATGAATCTACCCATGTTGGTGGGTTGAGATTACCCATAAAACTAAATTATCTGCCTCCTGTTTGGAGTGAAATTTAATACCTGTTTGGTGATGTATTTCACGATGAACTCTCTTTCGTTGACTTAATATATACAGACTGAAAGATTTAAAGATGGCAGTATATTCTATTCATTCTATAAAACCATTTAGCTTGGCATCATTTAATTTTTTTTTCAGTTTGTGGGATATCATTTCTAACAAGGACTAGAATAAGGGAACTCCGATGTAGAATAAATTGGGAGTCTATTTCCTCGACTGGTTTTCAAGTAAGAGTCAGTCCCTAAGTTTTTTACTTAGTTTTTTACTTAGTAAAGTCACTTAAAAATGAAACTCAAAAGAGGGGTTGAGGGCCCGGGGCTGTTTCCCAGCACCCCCTATGGCTCATGTCCCCTGTGACAAAAAGCACCACACCCCAAAGACAAGCTTCGGAGGGTGAGGTCAGCGGAGCAGGCCTGCCGGTGCGTGGTTCTAGGATCGCTGTCAACAGAGGAATCTTATCAGGTATGGGACTAGCCCTTTCTTTGCTTTATTTATGAGCTTGCATTCTTGAGAAAGAAACATCCGTTTTGCTCATCCTTGTCAATGGCCTCATTTAAAGTTCTGAGTTCACACGTATCACAGGACATGTACTTGAGCCTTTTTTTAACTTTAAAATGAAATATGTTGAGTCCTGCTCTTTTTTAAAATATCTGATCCTACCTAAAAATAGAGATGCCGTGGATCTCATGGTGATGCCGTGTCTGTGATATGATATCACCTGCAGCAGAAACTCTTTTCTTCAGCATTGTTGGAGGGAAGAAGAATTCCAGGAATCTAAATCCTAGTTTAGAGTAAAGTACTATATCTTTGAGCACAAACCTTTTTGGTCAAGGGCCAAATAATAAGTATCTTATGCTTTTCAAGCCAGTATTTTAGGTTTTGTGGGTGAGATGCCATCTGTCATACTGAATCACCTCTGTCCTTGTATTATGAAAGCAGTGATAGTCAGTATGTAAACAAACAAGAATAGTTTGTTTACACATTCTCGTTTGTGTGCCAATTAAACTTTATGGACACAGAAATTTGAATTTCATGGCATTTTCATGTGTCACAAAATGTTATCCTTTTTTATTTTATATATATTTTTAATTTTTATTTATTGCCCCATCCTCTTCCACGCATTCCTCTCTTCCTCTGTCCCATCACTGTAGAAGAAAGCCACAACATCTGGTGACTGGTTTAGTGACACTGTCATCGGGTCTGATTTAACAATTCATATCTTTACATTTTGCACAAATTTCTATGGAATGTCAAGTATCAACAGTGTGAGGACTTACTGAACAAGTGGATACATTTGTCTTTTTTAACTCACCTTATAAATTTGTCTCCCTTTCATTGTCTCTACATTTTCAGATTTTCCGTCATTGGGCAAAGCTGATTTCCCAGCAGTGACTCCCATACCCCCTCGTCTGACAGGCTATTCAAAGCCCACTGGTATCTTGTGGAGAGATACATTTTCTCAGAAGTTTGGAGCTTCAGATCACTTGGAGAAACTATTCAAGACTGATCCAATGAGCACACGGTTCCCTGTTTCTAAAGAAAAAAGCCATTCTCAGAGTTCACAGTTTTCTTCAGAACAAAAACTAGCTCATCTTCTGCCTGAAAATATGACAACGTTCCCCACTACAGTGGCTGTTGCTTCCCTACGTACCCTCCCTGCCACTACAGAGCCCTCATTTCTCTTCCCCACCAATGCTCCAGCGACACTGTCTGTGACCTCTCAACCACAGGTGGCCACCACGGCTCCACCTGCAGTGACTGTCACTTCTCAGCCTCCCACAGTCAGTTCTACAGTTTTGACACATGCTCTGGTTACGTCCCAAGCTAATATGACTACAACAGCAGTTCCAACTACCATCTATCAGGTACCTACAGACTTGAAAGGCCTACCAGAAACGGTGCCCTTTACAGAGATGGCCAATGTAACTTTGACGGCAGAGGTGGCCCATAACCCTGCTACAGGTCTTTTGCCAAATGTGGATTCTTCTACAAAGAAAACCGCTTCCCAGGAGAATGGGAAGACCCTTGCAGGCAGCTCCTCCCAGCACAGTTTTCCAGGAAGCCAACACAGCCTTCCATTTGAAAAGTGGCTCCTCATTGGGACCCTGCTCTTTGGTGTTCTGTTCCTCATGATAGGCCTTGTCCTCTTGGGTAGAATGTTCTTGGAATCCCTCCGCAGGAAACGTTACTCGAGACTCGATTATTTGATCAATGGGATTTATGTTGACATGTAAGGACAAAACTAGGTATCTCTTAATTCATGTCGTTCCTAGTAGTCCAAGCATACTGAGTTTCTGCTAACTTGCTGATCTTAGGATTTTGGAAGCATTTAAGACAGGCAAATACCCCCTCCCACTTTGTTTTTGCTTTTTTGTTTTTTGAAGGGGGAAAGAAAATAAATCAGGTAATTTTTGTGTTCTATCTCTAAAATATCAGCTGAAAGCAAACTCTACCTAAAATAATACAATTGTCATATCAACTTGAAAAATGACTTTTTTTTTGCAAAAAAAAAAAAGGACTTTTAGGCTCCACTTTGTTAATATTTCTAGTTCCAGATAAAGCCAACTATTTATGATATTAATTCTAATGGATTTACTTTCCTTTATATATATATTCCAATAAAATTTATTCCAGATGTATTTCCTTCCAATTAAATATTTGAATAAATCTTTTGTTACTCAGTAATGTTCTTGTAAGTCATATGCCCAGCTGGATATCGTTCCATTTATTCCCACCGGCAAAATGATTAAATGATGAAAATATGTGTTCTAAGTTAAAATGACAACCCTACTCCCCATTTTACCATCAATGAGCAAAGAATTTCCTTTGGGAGAATTCTAGCAGAATATTAGCTTATGTGGAGACAGTGCTAAGTCATTTCTGATAAATGGCCAAATTTATTGGGTTGGCCAAAAATTTCGTTTAGTATTTTTCCATACAATGGCTCTAGTAGTGCTTAATTGTCTTTAATTTCATTCAAAACAATTTTGTTTGATTTTATTGTGACTACTGTCATATCAGTGTGCACTTAAAAAAATCAGAATTGGTGAATTTTTGTGCAGCCATTTTAATACTGACGATGGAAGAAAATGCTCAACATTTTCAGTGGATTGTGCTTTATTGTTTCAAGAAAGGTAAAAATGCAACTGAAATGCATAAAAAAGATTTGTGCAGTTTACAGAGAAGGTGCTGTAACTGATCAAATGTGTCAAAAGTGGTTTGCAAAGTTTCTTCGTACCACTGACATTTTGGCCAAATAATTCTTTGCTGCGGGACTGTCTTATGCATCGGAAGATGTTTAGCCACACCCTTGGCCTCTATCTACCCGTGAGAAGCCAATAGTGGGAGGTAGCTGACATACTCAAAACATTCAAATCAATAAAGTTACTGGTGAAAATGAGAAAATGTGTCTTTTATTTTATGCAAAAATCTAAATGGACTTTTTAGCCAACCCAATACTTTTTCATCTATTCTAGTTAACTTTAACATAATAATATAAGCATTTTCTAAAATGTACTAAGTTTAAATATAATCATATTATTCATAAATGCTTTTCTAAACTTGACCAACACTCATTTTTGGCTTTATTTGGAATAACATTGGAAATTATAGATAGCACTTCAAATTATTCAATCATTAGTGTGTTGTAACTTTTGTTGATTGAAACGTCTTTGAAACGTCTGAGAAATGCTTTTAATATACAGAGTTTACCACAGAAGTTACAGTGGAGAACTAAGAAGCCAGGAGGCCACCTAGGTCAGTTTGACACCTCACTTCTCTGGACTTCAAATTGCTTATCTGCAAAACAAGAGGTTTGTTCCCTTTCTGGTGATAAAATGGAATTCAACTGACAACTTTATACAATGAACACTAGAGGGCAGTATATAGTTAATAAACAGCAAGGAAGACAAACGCAGGAAATCACAAAAACAGGTTTTCTGCTCTTTCCTCCTCACCTCTTCCCGTTTCTTCTCCTGGAACCCCTCCCTCTTCCCCCAGGTCTATACTAAGCTCATTAAGAGGAAAGCTAGTCTGTTGAAAATAATACTTTTCATATATTTTCCAATTTAACAGCTTGGCACAAATCTCCAAGGGGTTTACATAAGCTTTAAGTAGATGAGTAAATAAAACCTTGAATCAATTTAATTTAACGAGTACTGATTGAATAGCCACCTGTAGGCGAGAATCAGATTAGTAACTAAGTGGCTCAGAACTGTAAAATCTCTCCCCTCTTTGTTGACGGAATTGAATTGTGGGAATAAGGCTTTCAGTGGATGTTTATAAAAGCTTTGTCCTGGTCCCCTTGGAGCTCTCCGTCCACCTTGCTGTACCTTGCTTGCTTGTCTTTCTCAAGATGGAAACTGGATGAGGAGCCCAGACCAGATGCCTTAGCAGTAGTCCAGATGAGAGATGCTATGGGCCCAAACTCTGGCAGTGACTGTGGGGAGGGATGTAGATTGTAAGGGAACTGTTGGCTGTAAGACCTGCTTCTAAGAGGTAGGGTAGCTATTTTCACACTGCTCTTTCTGTTCTTACCCTTGCCACCATTGGTGAGGCTGCTGCCAGGGGAAATCAGAGAGTAGGAAGCCTCGTTTGCCTTCTTTTAAATAACAATAACTGATAACCTAGCCAACCTTTTAGACAAGATGCTCTGAATTATGAGCCCTTCTGTTGGTTTGTGGGGAGGGAAGGGGACAGCCTAGTACAAGTTTGAAGATTACAATACTTCCCCCTCTCAAAAATAGCCTCTCTCCATTTTTCACCAAGATACCCAGATTAAAAGGCTATTTTTTTTTTTAATATTTCATTTTATTTTTAGAGAGGGGGGAAAGGAGGGAGAAAGAAAGGGAGAGAAACATCAATGTCTAATTACCTCTCGCACGCCCCCAACTGGGGAACTGGCCCACAACACAAGCATGTGCCCTGACTGGGAATCAAACCAGCAACCTTTTGGTTTGCAGGCTGGCGCTCAATCCACTGAGCCACACCATCCAGGGCCAAAGGCTATTCTTAAAAGAGACAATGGCCCTGAAAATAAAACCTATGGCTCTTTCCTTCTGGATGAATACTGCTGCGTTCTTGTTTCTCAATTACCCTAGCCTGGGTGAGTCTCTGAAAGTCTCTGGTTCCTAGATTGTGGTGGGCACTACAGGTTATCCACACAACAGCCACCCCCAGTTGCCCTGTTATAGGTTGCGAGAGTCAGATTCTTTTCCCGCCCCTCTTATAGTTAGGGATGGGCCTGTGACCCACTTCCAGCTAAAAGGAAACCTACCGGGAGCTTCTAGGAAAGATTCTCCTTGATGAGTGAGGGTTACACAAGTAAGAAAGCCCTTTTTGCCCCCAACCCCTTATTCACTGCTTGGAATGGGGGTCATGTATGTATGAGGACTTGGAACTACTGCAAGCAGCCTTTCTGCCAGCAGGAGGGGAGGAGTTGCTCGTGAGCCAAGCATGGCAAGGTGGGATATGGGAAGAATTGGGCCTTGATGACTTGGTTAGGCATCATTACCAAACCAGAAACTGCCCCATTCCCATTGCGTTCTGTGATAATAAATCTCTCATTTATTTTGTACCAATTTTAGTTAAATATTCTACTACTAATTGACAATGATAGCAAACACCTACAAGGTACTTACAGTTATGTGCCAGGCACACTTTTACATACACAAACCCATTCCCACAACAATCTCATGAAGAATTTTTATACCTATTTTGCAGATGAGTCAATTGAGGCACAGAGAGGTTTAAATGACCTGCTTGAGGTCACTTGCCCAGATAATCTGGCTCCAGAGTTCCCATTCTTTGCATTCTTATGACTGGAATGATACACAGCATAACCAAAAAAAGAGGTTTGCAGTAGATCAGACATGTTCTAGACTACAGCTTTTCAATTTTGTTGAATTAAAGGTTACCTTGAGCCAAGAGCATGGAAATTAAGAGCTCAGTGGTCTCATTCAGGGATAGGCTTCCTGTATTTTTTCAGCTGCTGACATCCTGTCTTCTTGTTTGGTCACTGACCACCTGCACCAAAGTTAATGGCCACTCATTAGTCGGAGGCACACCAAAATAAAGAATTCATCCTGGCCCTGGCTTCTCACCCCTCAATTACTAGTATCCCAGCCCCCCAGTCTCCGTTGTACTGAGCAACTTCAAAGTCATACTCTACTTCTTTCTCTCCTCAGCCTCCACATCCAGTGTTTACCAAATATTATTTATACCCTTTCAAAAATGCTTCTCAAAGTCAACCCTCCTCGCTGCCACCTCCTGTTTAGTCTCCCTAACCTGCTTTTCCTTACTCCCAAGTTACACTCTCCCTTCATGCAGCCTCCAGTTACTTTAAAAGCACAACACACACAAGCCATCGTGCATGACACCTCTGTGTCCCCCATTACCTGGGCAGGGATGATTACCCATTGAAAGTTGCAGAACAAGGCTCCCCACGCTACCCCCAACCTCCCTGTCCTCCCATCTACCTTCCCTCCCACAAAACCTGGGCTGTAGATCTACATCCCTGTTCTCTATTTCTCAGATGTTCCAGGCGCCTGCATGAGCCGTGCTATTCCCTCGTTCACCTGGCCAACTTCCATTCACCTTTCAAGACTCAACTCAAACATCACCTCCACCACTGTCTTCCTGAGTCTCCCAGGAGAGGCATAATTCCTCCCGGATTTCTGGCATGGTTCTTGATCTGCACCATTAGCAAGACAGTACCACAGTATCTTCTAACATATCAGTTTATATGTTACCCGCTTGACTGAGATATGTTAGAGAGCAACATTTCTCTGATTCTCCCATACTTAAGAGTGTGCCTGGCACATAGTAGACACTCCATAAATGATCATGAGTGAATTTTAAAACCTCTTTGTTGAAGTTCACTCCTGTCAGCAAAGAGCAGTAATGTGATCGGCTGTACATGCAACAGCTTCTATATCATGAAGAGAAAATCCAGCTAAGACCCCTGCTTATATGCCTTTTTTAAGAGAATGGGATACAATCCAAGTGCACAGTGATGAAGTATATACACTTAACTAAGACCATGTGCTGAGGACCCAGTAGATAAGTATTTTGATTTTGTTTATTTCTCCCCTTCAAGTTGAGGTAGTGCAATTTACTTAGCCTATGGAGAGAGTGAGTTGACAGAATGTTTTTGCTTGTGTTCTTATATTTTTGGTTAATTTTTAAGGGAACTTTTAGAGCACTCTTATAGCCGAAGTAAGGCTCAGATTCTAAGTGTTCTGTCCCCAAATTAATGTTGGTTAGCCAAAGAGTCAAAAATGAAACCCCGAGCTCTAGGCTTTTGATTCAATATTCTTGCTACCACATGGGGCTACCAGGAGCAGGGATGTGTCTCTGTGGAGATAAATCATGTAGTAACACACACACCCAGACATGGGGCGATGGGTGCGGTGTCCAAGTTTGATTTTCAATCTCATTGTATATAAGATCTAGTATGTTTAGT